TTGTATTTTTTAATTATGATTACATATAAAACTAAATCACACCAACTTATTTATATTCAAAAATTCTCATTTCTAACTAACATGATCATTGGCCTGAGGGAAAACCAATATTCCTTAAAGGTCTCTTCCGGACCAGTAATCCTTCCCTATATAATAAAAGGCTGATATGCAAATAGACTTAACAGTGGGACAACTGGAACCAAACAACCAGTTGCTATGACGTGCACTGACGGGGCTATCAGCACATGGAATGGCGGCGGGAGCGGGGCTGTCGGCAGACAGGGGACTGGGGGCCGTGGTGGGAGGGGAACATGGCGGGTGTTGGCACAGTGGGATGGTGGAGCAGGTGAGCGGGGGCACCAGACCAAGGTAGGGCGCCAGTTGCTGTCATCAGGACGAACCTCTGGTGGTTACTGAAAATTCTTTGCTCCCATGCACCGTGGTCCCCACCCAGTGCTCAAACTTGCTGCCAGCGCCGAAACCGGAGCCACCGCTTGCACCCGCTGCTGGTGCCCGGGGCTATCAGCACATGGAATGGCGGCGGGAGCGGGGCTGTCGGCAGACAGGGGACTGGGGGCCGTGGTGGGAGGGGTTGGGCATGGGTGTGGAGGATGGGCCGAGACCTCCCCGCCCCACCCCCCCGCCCCGTGCCCGTGCCTACAGCCTCATGGCCCACAGTTCCTTTCAAGGTGCACAAATTAGTCACTGGGCTCCTAGTAATGTATAGTCTCCCACTTCTCAGACAGTCTTACATCCAAATAAAGTAACTTTTCCTAAATAGTGTCAAGACTTTTTTTAACTTCATGGTTATAAAAACATGATTATTATGTCTTTAGGGAAATAGAAGAGCTCACCCCAAATACTAAATTGTCAAAATGACTTCATTCAGTATCAGAATGTTTAGAGCAACCACATTCTGTACTTTATTGTTTAGATCAAGTGTTGGCAAACTTATTCTGTAAAGAAGACAGTAGATATTTTAGGCTTTGCTGGTCACCTAGTCAATGAAGCAACTACTCAACTCTACCACTGCATGAAAAAGCAGCCACAGACGAACAAACATGGCTGTTAAAAACAAACAAACACACAAAACCCAAAAAATATTTATTTACAAAGATGGGCAGTGGAGCAGATTTGGCCAACCTGTCATTTAGATGGAAGTATTTATCCAATAATAACAAAGGGACTACTGATAAGTTTAAGCCAATTTACCTTTTACCAAGGAACCAGTATCTAATATAGTGTTCTTGGGGTCAATTATACATTTTAAAGATAAAGATATGTAATATTGATCTTTATGAACATAGAATAACCTCTATTAAGGATTTAAAAATTTATTACAAAAATTCATTTTGAAATGTTGCATTGCAGATTTCACAAAGAATACTAGTTACAGATCAAAATTCCAAGGAGTAACTCAAAACTTTTAGTTGGATAACTCCATGTTATTTCTATAGAGAGTTTAATGCTTAAATTCCTAAGAAAATAATGTGTTTGTTGAATTAAAGATAATATCTGGAGATAAAGATGAAAGGTAAGAATAAGAATGGCCATTAAGAAGTGTCCAACTTATCATGTTACAAAATGTTGACTGTAAATCATCTAAGCCAGGTGTAACTATAACTACCCAGAATTCATCTTAAGGAGAGGCACATCCTGTAACCTACAGGTCTACAAGACAGGCTCTGGAATCAACAGCCATCACAATCTCTTGGATGTTTAATTGCAACTGAAGCTGCCAAATTCACAGGAACCTTACCTCTTTGTCTTATGATCCAAATGAATGAAGATTTTCCAGTCAAGGTTATAATTAATCACCACTTACAACCAGCTGTTTTGCCCTGTGAAGTCTAGGGTATATTTTCAGCATGAGGGGTGATGTACAACTCCTTTTGCGAACAGAAATACATGTACATGTCCCTGCTGAAAACGTCACCCAGTGAGTTTGCGTGTGAACGTGAAGGCGTGCTCATGTGCAGCCGTGTGCTAGAGGATGTTTCTCGTTCAGGTTTACTTTACGAGTCAGAACGTGTGAGCCTTGAGCCAAGGCGGGCAGGGGTCCTGTGTACAGAGGCACAGAAAGCAGCTCACTTAATCCTCTCTCGCCAGGAGTCGGGATTTTCCCAGAACGACATCCATTGTCGGCAATGGACGCACCAAAATAACGCCGGCGCCATGAGTTAACCACCTCTGTCCTCTTTTCACCTATTATATTTTTCATGCATCATCCAACTTCCCAACCTTCTTCCTGTTTCTTCACAGAATGCACGCTAGGTTCTTGTTTTTCTTCAGCACGAAGTTGAAAATGGAGTTGAGAAAAGGAGACACATGGTCAGCTGGTGATGTTAACAAGCTCCTTGCTGCCCTGAGAAGCTAGATGGAAATGGTTCAAGTTACAAGAGGGATCATCATCAGATCTGGGAGGACAAAGAGTAATTCATGAAGCTTCATTCCCTTCCCTCCCGCCCTCTCATTTGTTGATGATCCCCAGAGTCTGCCTTCACAGCAAAACCAAGACTAAGGAATCTGAAGCCACTGCTTTGCGCTCTTCACTCCATGCAGGGGCAGGAAGGCCAGGTGGGACTCACTCCACAAAGTGCAGGTGGCCCAGGTCAGGGAAGCCAGGAGTGGCTAACATAACCACAGTCTCAGCCAATGCTTTTCAGTATGATCTTGGAATTAACCTCAGCAACTAACACGGTGCTGGGCAACAGGTGCTCAGTGAAGACGGGTCGAATAAGACCTTTTCTTTTCTGCCAAGGTCTACTTTCTACTTGAACACATAGGTGGAAGTCAGACAGAAGTAGTTAACTCTTTCAATGCCGGGAGAGCACGGATATACTGTACAGTCATCACATCAAGTCAATGTATTTCTCTAAAATGTTCAATCACAGGCTCCTGATTTCAGAGTTCTTGCTAGATGCTAGCTAAAGAATATTTTTAAAGGCAACCATAATCCGTGTTGAAGTTAGAACCATTGTAAATGTTAACAGAATAGATGAATTAATTAAGAACCCTAGCACCAACGTGTAACAAGACATCACAGTCAGTCAAGCAAACACATGTCTCAGCAATGCAATCCCAGATGGGTAAGGATTCCAGAGCAAACTCAACTTTGAAGAAAGAGCATTTAGGTAATGGCTTCGTTAATGCTAAAAACTGGGATAAACCCAAAGTAGAAAGAGTGAGGAGGATATATTTTAAGTACGAATAAAATTTTAAACCTCAAGTCAAGAGGACCATCAAGCTACACAGCACTGTGCAACTCCTTTGATCTTTCAGACAGGAGTGGGGATTACAAGCACGGGCAGAAGTAATTCTGTAGGACTCAAAATGTATGTCTAGAACGTGACTTTAAAATACATTATCTCTAACTGGGTTAAGGAAATCCCAGAGAATAATTCATACCATTACAATTATAATAAAAAACCTACCATATAGAGAAATAAAAATATTCACTTTCTCCAGATTTTAAGAGACAGGGCTTTACGGAATTATGATAATCATGTCTTTTTCTTTTTTTTAGTTGTATCAATCAGAGACTTCTCAGGCAAAAATGAACTGCTGGGGCTACAACTCCCTTCTCTCTCTACAAAACTCTGTGTATAAGGCCTTTTCTATGTTCACCAGTGTACTTGTCTCCACTTCCAGCTCCCTATGAGCCAGCGTAACACAGGCTCTAAACACAAACCACTTCTTTCAGGGAAGAATAAAGTAAAAGCGGGCCTTAAATGAAGGTCCACCCAAGCGACTGTCCCAGCATCTCTTTCAATTAACTGCAATTCCAATTTCTGTAGTTCACATGTTGTGTCATAAGCAGACTTATTATGAATCCTTCTTTTTAGATTTATAACAAGATCAGACTTCATAAGGCTGAGTTTACACTGGACTGTAAGTGATGGAAGAGTAGCATGAGTAGAGCTCAAATGGGTAAATGAGCTGAAACCACACCATACTCCAAGAAGGGTCCTGACACAACAAAATGCAAAACCCAAAAATAAGCACGGAGCAGGAATACTGAGGTACTCATTTTGCTCAGTGTAAGGCAGTTCCATTACGGCTCAAATCACAGGACCTACTAGGTGAGCTTTGTCCTCGTAACTGGGGGCAGGGAGGGCTCAGGTATCCATCTCGCTGCAAATGAAAAAGTACTGCTGGTTTACCTGGATGCTTCCCCTCTGGTAGAAGAAAGGAGGAACAGAAAATAGGAGCTAGAAACGTAAACTGTTCCCACAGGACCCTTAAGACCTGGATCCAAGATTCAGATGCCTTGGGTCCACATCTCTCCCAGGCTCATCCTGGTACATCCGTTTATCCAAGAGCCAAGCGGGTTTTCTGCGAAGCAAACCCTGCACACCTTGCTCCCTCCTTTAACAGGAGATGATGTCTAAGCACAAGGCTTCCCCACCTCCATTTCCCCGCTAGAGAGCGTATTTTTTCTAAAGAAATAGGCATTTAAAGACAGGTATATTTCAGACATAACACTGGAACTGAATACCAACTAGCGCTGCTCCATATAAAGTTGTTTTACTGGAACAGAAACTTATGCTAAATCATTTTTTATGAAAAGGTGCTATACAACCTTGGTTTTCTACTTAATTTTTCATTTAAATTAATTTTTCAGTTAATCCAAAACATTCTTTGTTTTCTGCCATAGAATTTTACAGAGAATTTTCAAATGTAGAACCACACGTTTGTTACTCAAAGGATTTTTTGTTTTTGTTTTCACTGTGAAGAGCACTTGAATTACTAAATTCCCTGTTGTGATACACTTTCCTAAATGAGAAAAAGGGGATATTTGTGTATTAGTTTAGCTGGTATATCTCTTGCCAAGGTTTAAAATATGTTTGAGACATTTATAATTATTAGCTGATAGTAAGATGGTATTCCATTTCTCAAAAATACATGTATAGCTAGAAAAGCAGATAATTCTACTTAAAGTTTGTGCAACTCTCAACTTGAGTACTTCAGGTTAAAATGAACAAAACTGTTTTTCTTACCTTCAGGTCTTTCCAACTATCCAGGAGCTTGGTGGCCAACTCGCTGATGTCCACGGTTTTGTCTGGCGGCTCCTGGCTCCTCTCACTCTCCACGTCAGACACGCCCTCCTCTTCGTCCTGGGACGGCGTTTCCCCAGCAACATGCTCTTCTAGCTTCGCGCTGTGGCTCTCTTTCGGCTCTACTTCGACGTCAGCCTCCGGTTCAGGGGTGGGCAGCTTACTGGCCTCCCCAGCAATTTCACTATCAACTTTAGACTCTGGCAACTGCTGTGTGAGCAGCTGCTGTGACTGTAACTCATCCTCTTCTTCTACAGGGATGGTTTCTAACTGGTCAAGGTCCTCTTTGCCATCTTTGCCTTCTAGCTCGCTAGTGGCATCAGAGATGGCACTGTCCATGCTGTTCTCGCTTATAATTTTAAGTCTGCGAAACATGAGCTTCTTGGGGGTGTCTGTGTCAGCTTCAGTGCTCAGCTTGGTGGCGGGATCAGGTGTGTTGAGCGGCGTGTGAGCCCGTGACGTGTTCTCACTAGAATACCCATCTCCTTCACTCAACTGAGGAACAGCAGTCTTGGTCTGAGACCAACGCTGAATAATTGGAAGTACTTTGCTTTCTTCCAACATATTTTTAGTAGGAATAGGTAAGTGTTCCAAAGTCTTTATAATCTGATTAAACACAATAAAAAAAAAAAAAAAACCACATCACTTTGTACACCTGACTTTTCAGACCTCTGGATGGGGGCCAGATCATTTCTGTAGGAGCAGTGGGTTTTTTTTGTTTGTTCTTTGTTTTTTTTACCGTCTTATTAAATTAAGACCTAAGTCTCTGTTGTCGCAAAAAGATTCAAATGTCATAATATTTATCTATCAAAGGGAAGGACAACTTTCAATAAGACTCAACAGCAAAAATAACAGGTACAGCCGGTGACTGCTCACAACATCAAATAGGAGTGATTCATATTAATATTCCCCACCTGGTTAGATTTTTAAAAATATTTAACTACCAGACATCACCTTGGGTATCTTTTTCTAAAAAGTTTCCCATACTGTATCAACCATACAGTTAAATGATGTCTCACAGAGACTCAAAAAACCGCAGATACGTACCTCTTTAGCCTTTGATACACCCAGGAAAGACTCTCTTCATTCAGAAATAACCACCCTCCCGCCCTAAATACAAGAGTTCCTTCCCAAGTTCAGCCCGCACTGCAGTTCTACCCAAACCCCAAGGTCTCCCCACTTCTGCTTGCTGCCAGATCTCCTAGGAGGAGAATCAAGGCCAGACAATCGCTTACTTGCCCACTTTTCATTATGATTAAAAGGAACGACATCTGAACCACGTTAGATATTTATTTATTTCATGGGAAGGTGTAAATCACAGCCCCACTGACAACGTCACCACCGAACATTCACCTGGATCTTCTAAAACACTCATTTATTCCCCACAATGTTCTTACTCGTCATCCAGAATTCAGTTCCTCACTAATTGTTTAGACCCCCAGAAGTGAGTTCATGTGGTTCCTATCTTTTAAAACTATGGTTTTAAGCAACCTGGCTGGTGTGGTTCAGTAGACAGAGCATCAGCCTGCGGACGGAAGGGTCCGGGTTCGATTTGGTCAAGGGCACATGCCAGGGTTGTGGGCTTGATCCCCAGTAGGGGGCGTACAGGAGGCAGCTGATCAATGATTGTCTCATCATTAATGTTTCCATCTCTTTCCCCCTTCCCTTCCTTTCTGAAATCAATAAAAATTTAAAAAAAACCCCAACACATAAAGAACTATGGTTTTAGCAACAGACGGGATCTTTCACTTAACTATGGTACTATATCTTGCTCTCCCAGTTCCCAACTATGTAATACTGCCCTTAAACTCGATACTAGACAAGTACATGTAAAGGTTATAGCTGGGATGACCTTGGGATAAAAATACTTCACACCAGCAGTAAACGTGATGCTAAACTCATCGTCTCTGACAGCATCGCATCCCGCCCACCTAGGCAACAAGTGGCTTTAAGACTCAAGAGCACCGACTGTGACTGACCTCCTCCTGAAGCTTCCGGTTGCTTTCCCGGCCGTCCCCCAGCTCCGCCATCCAGATCCACAGCAAAGACAGCCCGTGGCGCTCCAGAAAGGACTTCAGGCGAGACTGGGAGTGAGTGTTCTTTCATGGCGGCAGGGAAGCAGGGTGCAGGGTGTTGGGGGGGTGGAGGGTGTGGAGAACACCAGACAGAATGTTAAAGAGGACCCACAGAGAAAACTAGAGTTTGTTTATATTCCAAAAAACCTAGAAACTACTTTACCTCAACTAGAACTATGTAACTGAAAAATGCTTTAAAGTAAGAGATTATAATCTTTTTTGATACCCAAAATATATCCAGTCAACCTTTACCTTATTAAAGTAGAAAATTATATAAACATTAATATGTCATTTACAATGAAATCCAATTCTAAAGGAGTAAGAAAAAATTTACATTCAGCCTTTTTATTGAAAAAGCTAAAACTATAAAGATAAGCTGGAGTAAGTGAGATTACTGTTAAAATTTTTTGCTTTGAGATCCTGTGGTTAAAATGGCTTTGTTATGCTAACCACGGGGAGAGCGTCTAGCCCTCTGTCCACCTACCACAGCAAAAAAACATATCAAGTATCATGAATTGTTGCACAAGAAAACTCACCATGTTCTCTGATTAAAGAGAGAAAGCAAGTAGGATCTACTAACAGACTAAATTATGCTGAAATCTCAAGCCATTTTTAAGAATACATGCTTTCAAAGTCATGCAGAACTCACATATCCATTTTTAAAATAACAGAAATTCTTCTCATCAGAATTATTCCTTCTTCATTCATTTATTCTGAACTATAGTTTAAATGTCCCACATCAAATTCAGAAATAAAAAATAAATTAATAAATATCAAAGTGTTCACCTGGATGAGCTTGAGACAGGTAAGTTTCTGTTCCAAAGTTTCAATTCTAACCATTAGCCGGGATAAGCTGAGCACCTGGTTTTTATCAGAGAGACCCTCCCCGTTCTCCATCAGCGCTTCTAGCTCTCCATCCACCTACCACAGCAAAGGAAACATCTGGTTATGAAACAGCATCGACCCATGCACCAAGAGGTCACCCTTTGGATTCCCAGTCAGGGCATAAGCCTGGGTTGTGGGCTCAATCCTCAGTAGGGGGCATGCAGAAGGCAGCCGATCAATGTTGATGTTTCTCCCTGTACATTATTTAAGTAAGGGCTTATTGTGAGAATTAACCCCTTCCCCAACAATTTTTTTGTTAAAAACGTTTCTTTTTCAGACTAATTTTTTTATTTTGGTTCTATATAGTATTTTTGATGCTGGTTATGAAAACAGTTTGTAACTCGTCTTCCTATAAACCATATTTTTTTACCATATTTTCTTAGTATACTCGTCGACGACTGAAAAAGAACATTTTGTGAAAACGAGTATACACGTTTCTGCCGGGGAAGGGGTTAAGCAAGTTAATATGTCAAGTGCTTAGAATAGTGCTTGGCATACAGCTGCACTATATATGTTCTCTAAAAAGAGAGCTGAAGCACACACAGTACTTTGAAGAGTTTTTTTCCAATATTGGGTGGTAGAAACGTGGGTGTTTATTATAAACTTTCCCCCTTTTTTGCATTTTAAAAATGGCATTTTTCAAAGCTTTCTGCTATCTATGTCTTCTTATAGAATTTAGTTTCTTCATAATTAATTTTCAATTAATTTGGGCTTAATCACATAATCTTGAACCATTATACTTCTATCTACTCCATGTTCGTTGCTGTCTCATCTAAACCGTAAGATTGACGTCATTTATGATTCTTAACAGTAGCCTATATAATAAAGAGCTAATATGCTAATTAGACCAAACAGCCGAACGACCGGCTGGATGACCTTTGGACAAAGCCGGGGCTGCGAGGGCCGAGCCCCTTGCACGAATTTTGTGCATCGGGCCTCTAGCTGGTTCATAACAAGCCCAGGAATGAGCTAACTGCAAAAGATCACAGAGGGATATGCTAACTACCTCCCCAGCCCCCAGGCCTTCCTCCCAGCCCCCCACTAGGATTCACAGGTGGTTGTGAGGCTCACACACACAGCTCTGAAAAAGGAATCCTCAGGGAAGGGAGGGGAATTTACAAAACAACAACAACAACAGAAGACTTTGTCCCAGTGAAGAGCCTCTGTAAGTAACAAGAAACCTCCTGCCTTCAGTAGTGACTCAGGTGAGTCCGGTAGAAAAAGGCTATCAACTACGGTTCTAATGTATTAAGTGAAAAGACCACTTGAGACTATTTCTCCTTACGTTGCCTGTTACCTCTCAAAACTCACTTCACATTCCAAAGAGGGTTTTCAGAGATTTTCAGAACACTTGCAAATTTTAGAGGTCCAAACCAAACAGACCAATATGAAAGATTAGGGATGCAGAACAGCCTTACGTGAGCTAACAGAGAAACATTTTAATTTTACTTAGGATTAGTTTTATTGTCTCTAAAAAATCATTAGCACATGTGTTTTCAAGATGACTTCATTATTTCTCAAACATATCCAATTCTAATCCCTGTGACCCTGAAATAAAAACAGCCATCATTCATTCTTCTTTTCCATGATTATCTCACCTGATCCTGAATTTCTCTGGTTGTAGTTCTGACTTTTCAAACTTCAATCAGAAAAGCTACCTCCCTTAAAATGTCTATGGTGAAATCTGAAAAAAGACACACCACTTACTGAATCTTTCTTACGGGATCGTTCCTTCTTCATTTTCCCTCCTGCTGCTCGAATGCTGACTCTGTTCTCTCCTCCCAGGTAACCCCGGCAATTAGCTGACCCACAGAAACATTTCTGCGCTTCTTTTCTGTTCAAGGAACAAAGGGGAAATGTCAGTGTGTGAAAGTAAACCATATAAAAGTGTTGCCAATACAATAATTACAAGAGAGAGGTCAATCTGATTAAAGAAAAAAAATTTATTTTGAGACTGCAAAAAAACCTGATACTATCTAATGCAAAGCCTGAAAATTTTTCTTAAAAATATTCATTCTTTTTCTAATCTTCCTTTATTAGCTAGACAAAACTAGCCAAGAGGTTATTAGTAATTTCTTCATTTTATAAAAGTACTTACTAATATATGAAAATAAGAGCTCATATACATATTTGGACTAAGAACAAAATTGTTTAAATAGTTTAATATCTATTACTTATATGTAAATATTGGACTGGCACATAGAACAACTAAATGTATTATTATAAAAAGATGTATAGAGGACAGTAAAAAACAGACCACTGCCCAGATACATTAGTCCATGAGGTGTTGTGAAATGGTGATACCGTTCATTATACTTCATTTATCAGCTGAAATAACCTCTATAAAGAACTTCTTCTCATCAAATATTTGGTTAAACCTGAAGTAGAGCTGAAACCGGTTTGGCTCAGTGGATAGAGCGTCGGCCTACGGACTGAAAGGTCCCAGGTTCGATTCCGGTCCAGGGCATGTACCTGGGTTGCGGGCACTTCCCCAGTGGGGGATGTGCAGGAGGCAGCTGATCGATGTTTCTCTCTCATCGATGTTTCTAACTCTCTATCTCTCTCCCTTCCTCTCTGTAAAAAATCAATAAAAATATATTTAAAAAAAAACAAACCTGAAGTAGAATTCACTAGGAAAGGCAGAATAAATGCTTTCTTTCTTTCTTTTATAATTCTTAAAATTCATTTTCAAAGTCATGAATTGGTTCTCATCAATTACGATGAATGCAATTTTATTTTCAAAATACTATTAGTATTCAAGGATTCTACATAATGTGTTTCAAACTGCTGCGGTTGTTACCCTATTGGTGCTGAAGTGTTCCTAGGAACTCTCCCACTTCTGCTAAGTGAGAGCCTATTTGAGCTAGCTCCTGAGCCCCTTGGACATGACCCTCCTGATCTAGTCTGTTAATTAGACCGGATGTCCTTCAGGACCAAACCAGGGATGCAAGGGAAGCCCGGGTCCCAGGAGCCAGAGGGAAGCGGTGCTGGCAGCCAGGGAAGGAAGGCCTACTCTTGCATGAATTTCATGCACCGGGTCTCTAGTGCTTTATAACTGGCTTTCTGGTATGACAAGATAATCCAAGATCACCTAGTTCAATGCATTTCAAGCTTGAAATCAGCTTGCTCCAAGGACCCATGTTCCTTTTTAGTCGGGTTTTGTAAAACCACAATGTACATGCTTGGGGCATTCACTGCTACTTCATTACTTATTGATTTTGGTAAACAAAACTAGATAACAATTTTTTTTCAAGTACAATATGGCATAGATTAAACAAGATTAAGCGTGAGTTGAATGACGAATAGAGATTTATTGTGCTATTCTCTTTACACACACACACTGTTGACATTTCTATAATTAAAATTTTTTAAATTACATTAAAAACATAGTTATATGAAGTATGAAGTTCGGAGGAAAATTATGCTGTTCAGGCACAATATCCCTTAATGGCCAAAAGTGCCTTACAATAGGAAAAACACAAAATTGAAAGTCCACTACAGGTAAGAGCTGGTAATATCTGTAGCTTCTCAGTAGCTCACATCAGTTCTCTCTCTGTGTGCCTGCACAGTCTACTCTCCCACAGAAGCAGCAGCACAGGAAGAGCAATACTCACCCGTATCTCTGGAACTGGTAGTCAAATGTCAACTCGGAGCCTGAAGGAACCAGTTTGGTGGTAAAAAACCCAACCCTCAGCTGTCCGTTCACAGTCCACTGAGATGTTGTTTGTAAAAGGAAAGAAATTAGTAACTAATTAAACTTTTTTTAAAAGATTACCATTATCAACCTTAATTATGCGTGTTCATCTCTAGAAGACAAAGGCTTTTCCAAATAGGTAAATGGGGAGCTTTTCTTCTTTACATAAACTAACATATTAAAGTGCTACTCTTATTTCATGAACTATCAGATTGAATATCATCTATAATTTGTATCTAATAAAAGTAACTGTTACTTTAACTAATTTTGATGTGCTAATTTCCACACAGCAAAGATACATTATGTTAAAAGTAATTATGTTCTAAGATAAGATGGGGTATGGAACCAGGGGGAAATGATGCCAAAAGTTGACCTTCATGAAGCAGTGGTGACACTGCTGCGTGTAGTGAGAGGGGAGGTGCATAAAACTCAAGAATTAAAACGGGGTTAGTACACAGGAGTTAGGCCTTGTAGTTCCAGATCATTTGCGATGGAAGTCGACTGTAGAGTGCCTTTCCAGACCATCTGAACATGTTACCAATGGAAAACACGTCTTAAAAAGACGAAGGGACACCATGCAGTTGGAGTCTCACCGCCAGACATATGGCCACCAGCTGCAGGCGAATCTGAGCCAGAACTGTAGGCTGAGTCATTTCAGACCAATGTCTCCCATTCATGATGTGGCCCAGCTCTCAGAAAGAGACCTATTTAAGGTCGAGTGGCACACAGATCAAAGGCAAAACATACCAGGATTCAAAACCACTATTTCGATATGAGAGGGGGGCCATTGGATCTATTTTTCCTAGGGAGTGGATCCATAGTTTTCTTAACCTAAAAAAGAACCAAAGTTCTAATCTATTTATATATTTTAAATCTAAGCTCAAAACACAAATGAGACACATTCAAAGTGACAAATCCACCGATGAATGGATTTATCAAGTGCCAACTCTGTGCCAGGCACAGCACGTGAAGAAAAGCAAGACCCGAAGCCTGGCCTGTTGAGGAGCACTGTGCCCACATGCACCCTCACAGAATCCCTCACACTTGTGGCTGATTTGCCCTTTATTGCGTCAGTACAACTGTCAAATTTGGAACCTGGATAGGAGCTGATAAAAATCTGAATGGGCCCAGTTGACGTGGCTCGGTGTCGACCCATAAACCAAGAGGTCACTGGTTCGATTCCCAGACAGAGCACATGCCAGGGTTGCAGGCTTAATCCCCAGTAGGAAGCAGGGGTGTGTGTGTGTGTGTACAGGAGGCAGCCCACTGATGTTTCTCTCTCATTGATGTTTTTCTCTATCCCTCTCCCTCCCTCTCTAAAAATCAATAAAAACATTTTTAAAAATTTGAATAGTGCACACACACTCTGGACTCCATAAAAACAAAATTTAGTTTTGTATTTTTGGCAACTTTGAAATAATATCTAAAATTTATAGGCAAATAGAGGTGAGAATTAAATGCAACTGGAGTTTTCTGGACCAAATACTAGACCCAAAAAATGACAGATGGTAAAATTTGAATAAGGTCTTTAGACTAGGTAATAGTTAACAGTATATCCTGGGTTGAGTAACTGTATTATGGTTATGTACAATGTATATGTGGAGAAGCTTGAGTGAAGGATGGTATGAGAACTTTGTACTATCTCAGCACTATTTATTATTTCATAACCTAAACTTACTTCAAAATACAAACTTTTAACAATAGAGTAGGAAAAAATGATTTAAAAATACTAGTCTTGGGTGCTTTTGATATACAATCTGAAAAGGTCAGAATAGAATCTTAAGTAAATACCCCAAACTCTAAATCCACCCCAACTTACTTTTTGAGTCTCACAGTTTGGCTCACAGCTATGATTCATAAAACGAGAGCAATTTCCTTTCTGAGTGGCATCTATTATCTAGGGAGAGGGAAAAGGAAGAGTTAAAAACGAGACCTAAACATATACTTGCATTCTGCAAAGGAAAGGCATCAGGCAAATGTAAAATCCCATTCCCCACCCCTTTCCTTTAGAAAACACTCTCACACTTCTTTATCTTCAGAGTGGTGACCATGTCCCCTGGAAGATCTGACGACTATAAACATTTAACCACAGTCAAAATCATCTCCTTTACCTATCCTTCTCTCATCTACTCTGAGCTATTTCTTACATCCCACGGTATTCCAACCTCATGTCATGTGCGTCACTGTATTCTCAAGTGCACCCCATGCCACAGTGCGGCAGCTCTCAACCTGGCGTATCTGAGCGCCCTGGACCGCCTGCTACTGGGCCCATCTCCAGAGTTAGATTCAGCAGATCCTGGAGTCCATCGCTAGGATTTGCATTTCCAGACTGAATGTAGAGAGGCAAATATGAGAATCTAGGTAAATTCTATTAAGCCAGGTATTAAGGAGATTTGTAAAAAAAAAAAAAAGGTCAATATAATGGGCTTATTACTTTGAAAAGGTCTAATATTTCTCAGCTTTAATTTTCAATATAATAAATATTGACAAATATAACCCACATAAACAAAAACTCGTGGGGGCGGGGGGCACTGATAATTGTGAAGAGCTGTAACAAGGCCCGGCCAGTGTGGCTCAGTGGCGGAGCAGTGACCCATTATGTCAATAACCCTTTGGAATTCAGCAAGTTCCAGATCTGTTTCGAAGCACACACACCCGTGCCGCTCACCTCATCGTTCTTCAGGGCCATGAAGTAGTAGTGGATGTTCTTGTTCCGCGCGTACTCCTTCACCCGGGCTTTAAACTCTTTATGATCAAGGACCTCTCCACAGTACTCCAGGACAAAGGTGTTCCTGGAACAGAGAGAGAATAGCAGTTTCTGCCTAGGGACACTTTCTTACATGGAAAATACATACATCTGAGCAAAATTAGTGAATTTAAAGAAATGTTCCAAAGCGGGTAAAACTGGTATTGCACAAGACGTAAGTAACAGTATGTGTGAAGCACCTAGCGTCTGCTCCAGGCTAATTCCTCCTTCCGGACACTTTTAAGAGCGTTGATTCTGAGAAGCTTTGGTCATTTATACATAGTGCCAAGACGCACATCCTTGTTCTAACTAGATATTAAAACAAACCTGCAGCTCTGGTTTTCATGATCATGAAAAAAATGCTTCACAGATACACCTCTGAAGAAACCAGGAAGCCCTGAAAAAGTACAGGTTTATGTTCCAGAAAAACAGAAGGCAACGTAAACAAATACAGCAGCCCTTCTACTGCCTTTACCATCGACGGTCCCAAACAACGTGAAAGGTCAAATATGCGGTTTCTGCCCTGGCTGGTCTGGCACAGGTTCGAGTGCAGCCTGTGCACCGACGGTCTCGGGCTCAATTCCTGGTTAAGGGCATGTACCTCGGTTGCAGGTTCGGATCCCCGTCCCCGATCAGGGTGCATGCGGAAGGCAACCGACCGATGTGTCTCGCTCACGTTCATGTTTCTCTCTGTCTCCCCCGAGTCCACTACCTCCCTTCCACTCTCTCTAAAAATCAAAGGAAAAAATATACTCGGGTGAGGATTTTTTTTAAATGCTGTTTCTCTGGCTGCGTTCTCTTTAAGTTTTCTCGAGCATTTATCAATAATAATTATTAATTTCTCTCCTCGGCTTCTTTCAGGTACTTGATTGTTCTTCCCTTGGTTATTTACTTATTTTATTATCTATTGAAATATTAAATTCTCATTCTTCCCTCCTTCCCTTTATTCTATAAAAGCTCATTCCCATCAGTGACTTCATGTATTACTACCTCCATGTAGTCAAATGCTTCTCTATGCTTTGGTCCCAAGACACCCTGAACTGACTCACCTGGAAGTCTTATCTTACCCCTTCAAAAGGAATATGCCCTGCCAAAACCGGTTTGGCTCAGTGGATAGAGCGTCAGCCTGCGGACTGAAAGGTCCCAGGTTCGATTCCGGTCAAGGGCATGTACCTGGGTTGCAGGCACATCCCCAGTAGGAGATGTGCAGGAGGCAGCTGATCGATGTTTCTCTCTCATCGATGTTTCTAACTCTCTATCTCTCTCCCTTCATCTCTGTAAAAAAATCAATAAAATATATTTTAAAAAAAACAAAAGGAATATGCCCTCACTCTAACCAGAGACTTTATCTTATGTTTTTTTGTTAATCCTCACCCAAGGATAGAGTTTTCCATTGATTTTTAGGGAGAGGGGAAGAGAGGGAAAGACAGAGAAACCAGCTAGGGCTAACCAGAGATTTTTAAAATGTAAAAATGTAAATAATTTCTATTTGCTTACAACTTGTTGATATAATCAGTGTACTAATTAAAGGAGAAATTAATTGCCAGTTGAAAAAAAATTAAACCCTTTTAGTTTAGAAAATAAAGCAGTTATTAACAAATGAGGAAAGAACCATTATATAAAAAAAGCAAACCTCCAAACAGGATTATAATGGTATTATACATGCATTTGTGAAGCAATCCATCACAAACACATCAAAATCTATTACTCACAGATTAACCCTGAAAGGTCTAATTACTATCGTTACAAACAACACTTAAATGTTCCTTTCCAACCTCAGAAGCTTATCATTTGGTAAGAAATGTATTAGAATGATGACAAAATTTGAGCTCTCATACTGTTGGACTCTCCACTTTCTGGATTAGTCCC